ATCACCTTCTTTCTTCTTAAAAAGATGACCAGTAAGGGGATCTTAACCCTTGACTTGGTGTTGTCAGCACCACGCTCTCCCAAGTGAGCTAACCGGACATCCCTATATAGGGATCCGAATTCATGGCCTTGGTGTTATCAGCACCACACTCTCCCAAGTGAGCCATGGCCAGCCCTAAAATATGTTTTTCATGTACCAGTAAGTTGGACACCTTCATGTGTCTCTATTCTGTAATATGTCTTTTGAAGATCATCATTTTCTTGTAATCACCATCAGGACAATTTGTAATGCAGCTTTTTTGTTTTATATTCGGTTTTGCTTTGCTGTACTGTGTCCTTTAAGGGCTATATGTAATCTCTAGTCAGCCATTCCCACTATGGGGCATTCTGTAATGTTTTCATGGTGGAAAATCTTGAATTGGCATACGTACAATAGCAGCCTACATCTGTGTGTTTTTACTCTTTCTCATTGAATTCATCTTCTATTCAGCTAAAATTATATTCTTTGTTTTGCACTTAAATATAACTAACTCACTATATATAACTAACTCACTGTCTTTCTAAACAGATCATAATCTTATGGTGAAAGATTAATTAGAAAAAGTTAATTAGAAGACAGTTTTTTTTTTTTTTTTGTCCTTTTTGTCTTTTTTCGTGACCGGCAACGGATCGCAACCCTCGGTGTTGTGCCCGCACCTCGCTCAGCCAGTGAGCCGCCGGTCTGTATGTGGGATCCGAACCCTCGGCAGGAGCGCCGCTGCGCTCCCAAGCGGCGCACTGTAGCAATGCGCCACCGGGCCGGCCCAGAAGACAGTTTTTAAAATAAGATTCATAATTTCAGATTTTTGACATCACTTTTATTCACTTAAAAACTTACATTGAAAACACTGCTTCTGAAAAAAGTAAATGAAAACTATGTAGATTCTTGGATGAGTGAATGAATTCCTGAATGGAATCATATCTTAACTTTAAATTATTTTTTTGGAGGAGATGGAATGTAAAAGTAGTTACTATCCTCAACTAATGTTTATTAAGTATTTATGCTACATGTAGTGCTGTGCATTATAAGCTGCTTTCTATTAAGTGTTTTTTCTTAACTCTGTGATAGTAACAATGATTTGAAGTCCTATTTACAAAGTTACTTTTCTGACATTATTATTATCCTCGATTATTTAATAATTTTTACAAATCATGCTCCAGTTATAATAATTAAGAAAAAACCTGACATTAAGAGATTGTGATGAAAGAAGAGACATTACATTCCTGGAGGCGAAATAAAAAACAGAAGTCTTTAAGGAAACAAGGTAGAAAAAAATATTGCCAGAGATTATATTAATTAGTCAATACTTTAAGATGTTAAGGTGAAAACTACTTAGGTAGTTTTTATGATGTTTCTATTGCTAATGTAATTTTAATAAACATGAGGTACTGTGTTTTAAAATATAGTGTAACAACCCAGCCATGCTTTTACATTATAGTAATTATATACTGAACTGTAATTTTTTTGTCATTTTTTATTTCAAAATGGCCTTCAATATAATATATGTATTGAATTTTTCAGGTTATAAAACTGGAAAAAAATTTAAGATTTAAAAAGTATTAGTGCTAGCTCTAAGGTGACCAAAAATGTGGTTGTAGTTACAAATTAAAGATAATTTTGAAAGAGAGGTAGTTAACCAGGTGAGGTTAAACAAGATTAAATGATTTATGGCCATTTTATAAAATAATGACAGTCTTCATTTTAAGCTACAATGTAAAGTGCTTTATTCTGAGATTAGGTATTGTGGCAGAAGCTAAAACTGCCTTTTTTCTAACAGTGCCAGAATACAACCTCTTTTTCTTTTTGCACTAACAAGACTGCTTTACCACCACAGCCCACTCTAAGTAATTAAATCAATCCTTTGTACTTACCGTATTCTCCTCTAGTGACGGTACTAGATCTGATTATATGCTTCATGCATATTCAAAGTACTGCACTGACAGCTCTTTAATGAGCTCTTACTTAATCAGTATGAACAATGTTCATCTTGTTCTTTTTTTCCTCATGCATTAGAGCTAGGAACAGTTGGGAAAAATGAAACATCCAGCATTCATTTGAAAAATATATTGTACTTTGAAAAGTGTCTAAGCTGAGGAAGTTGCATTCTGCCCTTTAAAAGTCTGATGGACAAATTGGATTACTAGTATTGGATTAAATAACAAATGGTTAGAGGAGAAATGAGAAAAGCTCACTGTGATCACAGGCTTTAATATTTTTTGTTACTTATAAAGCTAAAGGGGTCTTTAACCAGTTATTAAAGTCAGGATTAATTTGTGATGGTTCAACTTACTGGCTTTTAAAAGCTTTTTAAATTTTAAAAATTTAAAATCCCTAAAAACAATTGTGTAATTATGTATTGGAAGAAATTTTAATTTTTTATTACTAGGCTAAGTATAGATTTTCATCATTGTATCCTCTCTCAGATAAGGATTTAGTGATACAGAATTGATTAAGCCTCAAACATGTTTTTTCAGTTAATTTGAATAATCTGTGTAGCAATGTTGAATGTGTTTTTAAATACTTCTTATTGTTAAGTTTATTTCCTTTTGAAACATGAGACTCTTATTATTAGTCATTTTCTAAGAATTAGGGGAGGGTATCTTTTATTCTTACCTAGAAATCATAGGCATGAGTTAAATTGAAAATAACACAGTACCACATCAATATTGTTATTTTCAAGGAAGCAGTCTTCCATTGAAGAAAATAATGCTAATTTAAGAGTAGGCTGGCTGCTTCTAATATTGCCAGAAAGCCTCAATTATAGGTTAAGTTAAACTCAAAACAAAGTTTTAATATGTCTATATTTTTAGAAGTCACTTAGGTTATGAACACAAGAATTAAGTCTTTAATCAGAAAATAAAATATCACAAAATCTACACCTATTAATATTGCACACATGTGTCATTTTACTGATCAAAAAGGCCTTCACCAGGGTACAATTGGCCTTTTTCCAAATTGCAAGCTTTTTCTCAGCTTTTTCTTTTTACTCTTTCTTCTTTTGTTGCTACCCAGGGATTTGTCCCTATCGCAGCCTATATCACATGACCGGTGTCAAGACATCACATGGTCCAGAGTGAATACAAAACCAGCTACCCTAAAAGACAGATTAAAAATACTGTAAAACAATAAAGACTTGTTCAGACTCTAAAAGAATCTATCCTAAGTCGGCTTCATACCATTAAGTTTTAACAGCATTTAATGAAGGCATATACCCTCACTGCTCTCTCTAATGATGAACAATAGCTATTTTATAGGGATGCTCTGAAATACATGTTTAATCTTTTGCACACAGATCAGCTTCCCATATTCTATTTTCATTTTTAAAATTCCTTTAAATTTGTATTAATGTGGAAATAGTTAAATTATGGCATGCCCATAATTTATGCAGTCATTAAAAAGAATGAGGTAGCTAATTTGGATGACATTTACAAAACAAATCATAGGCCGATATATAATATGATCTCACTTATATTAAAGAAAAGAATGTGTCTATAGATAAAGTGTATACTTGTGTGATAAACATAGCTATCCGTGTGGACTGGAAGGAGATGTGCTAAACTGTAATAGTACCTACTTCTGGAGAAGGAAAATGGAGTGGGGAGGTGGAGAAGGTAGGATTGGTGAAAGAGAACTTGACTTTTTAACTCAATTATACCTCTGGGTCATTTGAATTTTTAAAATGGACTAGTAGTGTGTTTGAGATTTAAAGGAAATATCTTGCTTAAAAAGAAAGTAAAACTTAGGGAATAATAGTCTTAGCTGGGATATTTAATTTTTTATTAGATATTTAAATTAACCCTATGAATGCTATACAAAAGTTGGACTGAAGTACTAATAATAGCTTAGCAAAGCATAAACCAATCATGGATGAAATTCAGAGAAAAATAAAAGTCAAAGAATTGTAAATTTGACTAGGTATAATTTGAAGGGAGAGGAAGGGAAAATTATTTTTTTTAGTATAATTGTAGCCTACTTCTATATGAACAATACCAAATATATACTATCCTGTATTATAATTCTTACTGTACTGGCCTTTATTGTTGGGGGTGGGGTGGTGGGGTGGTATAGATGGTGGAATGGGTATTAGGCATAGTGAATTTTAAATAACTCCTGTATGCTCAGTAACCTTACAATCTAAAATGTTAGATTGTCTTTCTGCTCAAGTGTTTTCCGAACTTTTTTTTTTTTTTTGGCGCGAACTTTTTTTTTTTTTTGGCAGCTGGCTGGTACAGAGATCCAAACCTATAACCTTGTTATAACACCATGCTCTAACCAACTGAGCTAACCAGCCAGCCCTGTGAACATTTTTATGTTCATTGTAATGTGTCTTTTTCACAGAGAACTGTAGGTATTTTTTGTAGCCTGCCATTTACAAGGTATTTGATAAATTGCAAGTCCTTTACCCTATTAGGGATGATGGGTTTTGGAATGGTATATATGTATATATCTTTAGTTTACTTTAGGGAAGGAAAATAAGAAAAAAAGCCATTGTCACAAGTGGAAGCTTTCACACAATCTCTGGACTTCCCTGATCCTCCTGCTACTCTTATGATCCCCATAATGATTTTTTAATTTTTTTTTTTTTTTTTAATCATGACCATATGTCTGTCAGCGCCATAGTTCATCATTGAAACATAATAGCAAGTCAGCCTCTGGGGAGAATTTAAAAGGTGGAACATTTTGTTTACTGTACTTAGTGTTAATATGATCTATAGGTATGTTCAGGGGGACTAAAATATACATGCAGAAAAAAATCAGCTTTAGAAGCCCGGCTTTTGAGTTTTTAAATATTGATTCCTTTTTCAGGCCTTGGACTTTAATATTATATTATTATAAGCAGTTTAATATCTAGTGTTGGAGTAGCTAAAATATCTTTTCATGTTAAAAAGAAAATTTGTGCTAAGGTATTATTTGGCTTATAAAATCTCATATAATAAGAAGTAACTCTTCCTGAATTATAGGAAGGAACACAGAAGAAGAAGAAGCTATGATGCAGGAATGGTTTATGTTAGTTAATAAGAAAAATGCCTTAATAAGGAGAATGAACCAGCTCTCTCTTCTGTAAGTATTCATGACTGTGCTTGTTTCTCCTGCAACATTGATAAATCTCAGGCTTTTTGTTATTGCCTTCTTTGTGGTTTCATATTTATTAGGCTTATTTTTTTTCTTAGGTATAACAGTCTGTTTTATATAAAAATAAAAAATAATATATAACAATTTTTATCTTAACAGTAAGAAATTTTAAATGGATAGACACTGAAAAAAAAAGTGCTTATTATACAGAAGGCCAAGGAATATGAACAATTTTTGTGTTTAAGAAGTAAATTACTTGTGCGAAAAAGGAGGTTTGGTTTATACTGAGGATTAGAGAAGAAAAGAAATCAAATTGAAGTTTATTTAACAACAAATTTTAAGTTTAAAAAATAACTTTGAATAAGGACAAAAGTACATTTATAGTTTATAGGTGATGTTACTCTAAGTTTTGGAGATAAGAAATTAATTAAACAGAGTCACTTTTTTATGATTGCAAGAACTACAGTAAAATGGAGACTAGGCCAAACGTAAGCATTCTTAGTCTTTAGCATTTACTTCACTATAGGACTTAATGCTTGTTCCTTTCTGCTCCCTAGCAATGTTCTTATAGTATGCCACCTAGTGTAGGAATGAGCAGGCTTTTGTGTTTTATTTTAGTGAAAAACTCTAATTTTATAATTTCTGCCATGTCTGAACTTGATAAAAGAGTTTTAATGAAGCACAAAACGTAACTGATTCTGAATCTTCAATTGTCTCTATATTAAATTTGCACTGGTAGTACTTTCATACTTCTTATATTCTTTTCACATGGAGTTTTGGACAAAAGAGTGTTTATTATGAACCATGAAAAATATTTTAGAAAATAGCTTAATACAGGAAGCATTGAAGAATGAGATTATTTATCCTCAGATTAAAATATGCCTCTGTACCATTCAAAATTGAAAGAGGAAAATAATAGCACTGGTAAATAGTCAACCAATGAAGGCTTTATTTAGGTTTGTGTATCATTTGTTTGGAGTGGCTTAAAGTTAAAGAGAAAAGTCAGTTATGAGTCCTAAAATCAATGTAACCTAAAGGTTCTTTTAAGTGTTTAATGATTTAGTAATTAGCATATTGATGAACTTTTGCTGCTTGCCTAGGGAAAAAGAACATGATTTAGAACGACGGTATGAGCTGCTGAATCGGGAATTGCGGGCAATGTTAGCCATTGAAGGTAAGAAATGGTTATGGTGGGGTGAGGTATGGGAGGTGTCAGTTGTCAAAGAAATTTAAAGAGTGTAATACACTTCTGGTCTTACTAGGTCTGGTCTACTAGGGACCTAAAGGAAATGCAAATAAATATCTTGGAGGCATAAAGCAGTGTCTATATAAACCCAAGGACCCTAATTCAGATAGGTAATCATTATGTTTGCTATTAAGCACAAAATTGTCTTAACTTTTGATTCAGTAAGCTTAAATTTACATAAAAGGGAAGAGATAAGGAGTCAATTGATTTAATTACATTTTCCTTAGGTGCAATTTAAAGTTGTTTCCACTGGATAGGTTTGGAAATGATTTATCATTTTGATTTTTCACATTCAGACTCTACATTTTACCTTAACATTTAGTTGATGTTAACATTGAAATATATCACTGTCCAGTGTGCTGTAGTTCTTAAGATTCCAACTTGTATTAAGTGAATATTCAGGCAAAGATTGGCATAAGAGATAAATGAAACACTTTCACACTTTTCATAAAGCTTTGAAGTGAATTACATAGTAATCTTATGCATGGTTCATATTATCCGTAAATATTAGCTAGCTTAACTATAGCATTTACTATATATGATTATTTTCTAAAAAGTCTTAAGTGTTTTATAATGCTGTTCTCCTTATGCCTCTCATTAGAAAATGTCTTATAGTTCAAAGATGTCTGCTTAAAAGCTAATCCTTTGGGCTCTGTAAAATGGACCTTTTGTCTAATCAATGCAAATTGATTTTCCTATTCTATATTGACCTCTTAACCCATTGACTGTCCATGGTAATTTTGTTCTTCACCTGATAAGGTACCTGATCCATTTTAAGTCAATTCTAATTAGTTTAGAAACTGGAAATTTAAGTTTATAAGGGAAAGCCAAGTAAATCTTCATATTCTTAAAATATTTTTACAAATATTGTTATCAAATAAAATTCATGCTGTTTATTTAAATACTATCTTACATGTTTATAGAAGTTTTATTAATTACTTTTATATCCGTAATCTCATTTGATAAGTATAACTGACAACATTTGTATGTCCTCATTTAGAAATCTGATTTACTTTATTTTAAAAGGCTTCAGTTAGCTAACTTCCTTCAAATGGCTTCAAAGTATATCAAATGATACCATGGATAATGACTATAAAATTTATCAAAATTATTTAAGACGTTCTGTGAAACTTGCCATTGTAATAAAGCCCATTAGTATATAAATGGTATTTTTCCTCTCAAAATAATTTTTGTAGTCATAGTACAGTCTTTCTTTAAAAGAGATTGGAAAGCTAAATAGTTGAAAAGTATTTATATAGTATACATAGGTATATGTAATATATAATGTATGTATACATAGTATGTATAATATATAATTCATTATACAGTTTATTCTTTATAGATTCCTTATACATTAAACTCAATACAGAGTACTCTTTAAAATTTTTACACACCATCTCATGTATAGAAGGATAAAATTGTCCCTGAAATACAGCTTGATACAATAGAATTGACTTTTAAGGCAGATATTGGTTCTATCCCCAAAACCAGTATTATTACCAAATCCCCGTCTTAAAAGGAGGGCTATAACACATAAGAAAGATCGCAGTTTCACTGAATCTTAAATAATGCCATTTTATCTGTCTGACCTTCCTGTACATATGAAAGACCAATAGAAAGTCATATTTGAAAGAGAAAAAAATAATACTTTTCTTATTAAAACACTTTTAATACAATTGTTAGGTTCTTTGAGTTATCATTTTCTTTTGTTTTGTTTTTTAATTACATTGTCCCATATGTGACTGTCTCTTGAATCCTGAGCCAGTTTCCATTGCGGGTTGAGGGCAAAAAGGAGACTTGAAGAAAGGAGCAGCCTGTTGATACAAATAAAGACATTTTCTTAGAGGCCTGCCCCACAAGCCTGGGCAGTATGTGGTCTGGACTGTCCTCGAGACTAGGTGCTGATCATTTTGAAGATCAGCTCCTCTGTGATCTGAGCCAACCTTTAGAATGTACGTACGTGCAGTTCACTAGCCTTTTCTTGAGTGTTAAAACACCACAGAAAAGCACATGAATAGGCAACACTAGTTGGTTCTGTTTTGTTTTCTTTGTGTTAAAGTTCATTCCTCTTTTTTTCCCCCCATCTCTTCTACTTAGTAACCATAAGATGGGTTTAGTAATAAACAAAAATATTTTCAAATAAATCTGCTCAAACTATTCACCAGGAAAAAGCACAGAGTAGTAATAGCAATAGCACAGTGAAAGAAACATTAACAGCTTGGTTTGAGAGTTAAAAAAAAAAAATATTTAATACATTCATTCTTCTTAGAATCCATAATCACTTTGGCCTGCTTTTTACCCTTTTTTCCTGAGGTGTTTATCATAGCAGGAGTTTCACTCTACTAAACTAAGTTGTAGGATCCCTCAAGCTAACAAACATCTTTTAGGTACTTTTCCTACAGTTTTTTTGTTCCAGATTATATAATGTCCCCTCAGGAAAGATAAATTCATTTCTACACACATTGGGGTGGGCTTCTAGAAAGTGGTATGTTCATTTTCTGCACCAGAAATGGATCTTCTCTAGGATTTTGTACATCTTGATTTATTCTTGGCTTAGAGTTTGAAGTGGGTGCTCTTCTAAAGGGATTTATGCATAGGTTCACTATTTTTGTAGTTATGGTTTATATGATAAGCTTTTTATATTTAAAATCAATATGTAATCCTGTGGAGGAGCTTATCCCCTAAAACCCCATTTGTAAATCTATTTTAGCTTTGTTACACAGCACAGCCACAGTCTTCCATAGATTGATTAGGTACAGCGGTAGAATCCTATCAAATGGCCTGTTCTGATGATGATGCAAACTCTTTCAGGATTGCTAGTTGACTGGAACTAAAGATAAGACTTGACTGCTATCCCCCAATGTGCTCTTTACAAAACTAGTGTTAATTTTCATCAAAGTGCCAGGCTTATTTATACTGGCAAGGTTGAAGGTTTACTACAAGAACTTTAGGTCCTTTCTATTAAAGTGTTTTTAGGTATTTCTCTTGCCTTTTTTCAAGGTAATTATCAACTTCAGCAAATAAACTGAATCGAGAATAAATAATTGGCCCTATCTATAAAAAAGTTTTTAAAATTAACAAAGCTGCTCAGTGCAGATGGACAGAAACAGAATCTCTTTATTTCAACACTTTGGCTCAAATGCAGCATCAAAACTTAATCCTATTTGTTGCGAGAGGATATGGCTTTTGTAGCAAAAGTATACTGGAATCTTTAAATTAATCAGAACCCACATTGTAGTCTGTCCAAGCCAGTCAGTGCAGCTAGCTGGCTGTGACTGGTGTTATAGGTGAGTAATCCTTTCTTAAAATGCATGACAGGTAGGTAACACATAAGCTTACATGCAGGTTTTTAATACGTGACATGTCTAGGTGAAGCTATTTAAAGGGGATTTTTAAAAACTTAGATTTTGAACATACAAATGTGAATCTTGATCAATTTTAAGTGTAACATTAGCACACATTGTATACGTTTTGAAATATAATTCTGTACCCCATAAAAATGTACTATCAGTGTGTTTCAATAAAAAAGTAACATTAAATTTTTTTTGTAAAAAATAAAATAGTTCACTTCTCAAATTAGCATTTAAGTATATATGTATGTGTGTATATTAAATTATGTGTCCGTATGAGCGTGTATATATATATATATATATGTGTGTATTATATAATTTATTCCCACTATGAGAGAGCAAATACAAAGTAAAAGTATAGCTTGCTAATGTAAAATCTATTCATTGCACATAGCTATTTCCTCTACATTTGACTCATATATTATAGATAGATATTAATGTAGTAATGATAGATTGAATATGAAAAATCCTATAAATTTATTTTGGATCATTTTAAATTCTAATATCAATTAAATTTTACTATAAAATGATAAAAATTACCTAAATATTCTTAATTTTAAAATGTTTTTATTACAGTTATGGGAAATGTCATTATTGAGCTAGAAAAAAGTTAAGAGTTTTTAAATTATTCAATACTTCATCAGTTAAAAAACAAACAACTTTCCTCTTATCCATATTGTTAGAGTCCAAATTTTTTCAATGTTAAAGAAATTCTGGTATTTAAAATTACTAATTAAAGCCTTAAAAGTGACTGGCCAAGTTCAGAGAAAGAACAATTTAATTAAGAAAATTATGTCTGCTGTTAAAATTAATTTTTTCTTGGTTTAAAAATTTTTAAATTTTCAGGTTAGTTATATTATTTTTGTATGGTTGAGAAAATTTATTTTCCACTTGTAAAGCTCTTATCAAAATGTTTTGGAAGAATCCACGCGTATAATCAGAATGATTTCTTGAGGTTAGAAATGGAAAAATTAATATTCTTCAAACCTGGCAATCTTAATAATTATAAAATTTAGTTACACATCTTTTACAAATTTAGTAGGTTTATTTTTCTGAGTTAATATTTCTAGAACTACAGTTACCTGAAATTAGACAAGATGACCTTTAAGATCTTTCCAGCATGGAGAGTCTATTAATTTACCTGCTGTGTAGAATAAGACCGATTTAAGAACAAGAACCAGATTATAAAATTTTACATTATTCCTGTTCTCAGTTGCTATTCCTATTTCAATCCAAAGAATAAAATTATGATAGATACGGTTTCTCTTCAGTTTTTCTGTTTATTACTTTAAAATTTTTCATATTGAGAAACAAAGCTTTCCATAATTGTCTTTCTCTCCATGCTATAGAATATTTCACATTTTTTATAAAAATGTAATAGCGATCAGTTATTTAATGTATTTGTGTGATGTTTTGTATTGAATGTGGATAATTAACATATGGCATGTTTTATAGATATGTATGTATGTGTTTGAGCTTATAATGAAAGGAATAGTGATAAAATTGAATAAACCATTCTAGCTTTTTGCTGCTATTCTAACCTTTATTCCATGATGATGCATCTAATTTTTAATTTGTAAATACAAGATAGAATTCACTCTAGCACCATTTGCTTTCATAAAGCTGCTGAGCAGTTTGCTGTCTTGAATAAATTTTGCTTTGGAGGGGGTCGGGGGGATTTGAACCAGCACATTCTTGTGTGGTTTGTGAAGATTCACATGGTAACCAGTGGTGTGCATTGTTAGGTTTATCTGAATAAGCACCAGCCATGTGAGTTTTAACATGATTGCCCAGGGCAATGGAGAGAGAAGAGAGAAACCCGAAAGGATTGAACTCCTCTGTTTTTTGGAACGTGCATTTGCTGGGGGGAGGTGGCTGTAAGAGTCAGTGGCTTTTTTTTTTTTTTTTTTTTTTTTAAGCTGGTGTCCTATTTCCCTCTAGGTCCTCATTTGTTCTGCTATCTGCTTCATCATCTACTTCTTCTTTTCATTGTTTACCTTCCTAATGAGGGAGGCGGGGTAGCTGGGGGTTGATTGACAGCTACAAGCCCTTACAGTCTGGCCAGAGAGCAGTTGGCTTTGGTTTCAAAAGTGTTTTAAATGTTCGATTTAGTCCTGGTTTTATTACATGAAACTGCTGGTCACTTTAAGGAAAATTTCAGACCAGCAAAGATAAGAAAATATAATATTGGGGCCTAAAACCTTTTTTAAAAATGGCCCCCACCCATGGAAAGAGCGCTGCCCATCGGATTCTCCAACCTTTAACATGGCGTTTCAGAAAGAAATATGTAATTTTTCCTTTGCAGAAGTGCTTTGATTTGAAACCACCAGTAAGCGTCTCCAAAAGAAAACTGGCTGTGATGCGATCGAGAGCTGCAGTGTAATATTGCAGAGCAAATTTATTTTTTACTTCAAAGAAAAATGCTAATTAGCCGATTCACTACTTTTAAAGTTATTGTGAAGCATATGGCGCCCAGTGTGAGATACATCCAACTGCTAAAATAGAGCGAAGAGGAAATTAGCGAAGAATGGGCTGTTTGGGGTGAGAGTGGGGGGTGGGGGAAGAGGATAGGTTCTCAGGCAGATTTCTCTAGCGTTTTCAGAATCATTTTATCGCCCATATCTGCTTCCCGCCTCCTCATTTACCCACTCTCCCCCACCTCCCCACCCCCCGGGCCAGCCTCTTCTGGGCCTCCGGCTCCCCTCCCCCACTTTGGCTGGTTTCAGGTGCGCACCTCCAACTAGCCACCGGCCCACACCTGGTCTCTAGCAGGTTCCAGCTCTGCCGCAGTCATCTCCATCTGCGGGAAATATTTAGAAGGTAGGGTTTTAGGGGTGAAATCTTCACCACGACGGCCAAACACACCAGAAAACACGAGCTAGTGGCACTGTAATATGGTTTGCCGAGAAATACAAGGAAACTGGAAAAGGCGGGAAGAGAGGGCGGGGACCGTGTGTGCGGAGGAGGCCCTGGCGGTGGGTAACTAGCCTCCCGTCCCCTGCAGACTGGCAGAAGACAGAGGCCCAGAAGCGACGCGAGCAGCTCCTGCTGGATGAGCTGGTGGCCCTGGTGAACAAACGCGATGCGCTAGTCAGGGACCTGGATGCACAGGAGAAGCAGTGAGTGGGATGTGGGGTCGTGGGCGAGGCTCGGACACCTGCCGAGGGGCTGAGAAGTTCGTAGAAAGTTCAATCCAGAAGTCTCGGCAATGGCTGGGGCGGCCTCTTGCTGGCCCGTGCTTCCCATTCCCGCTGGGAATCCAAATACCAGGGAGGGGCGAGTGTTCTGCCCTCCACGCAGAAAAATAATTTTGTTTCCTGTTTGTCTGACATGCAGGGCCGAAGAAGAAGATGAGCATTTGGAGCGAACTCTGGAGCAAAACAAAGGCAAGATGGCCAAGAAAGAGGAGAAATGTGTTCTCCAGTAGCTGTCAACCAGAATCTCTCCCAACATTTTAGAGTCTTGGGTTCCCAGACCAGAAAAAGTCAGACTTGTTGTTGATTTAAAACTTCAAAAATGTTGTTTGGCCTGACTGTACTTCTTTAGCACCACCACCACCACCCATTTTCCTCCCTCCTTTCCAGATAATATACAGTAGTCCAAAATAGCTTTGTTTTAAGGATTTTTTTGTAAGTTAATCATTTCTTTGAAATCATATGAACTAGATTTGCACAGACACCTTGTATGTGATTGGTATTGGAGGTGTTCAAGAAACTGTTCAAAAAGGAATTTTAAAAATGCTTCCCTCATTTTTTGTTGGGAGGAAAATTTGAAACGTTTTTGGTGGTGGTAGTGGTGGTAATAGCATAATGACGGTGGGAGGGGGGTGACGGGGAGATAAGAAAAATGTCCTGAATGATTTTTTTTCCCAGTCCTCCCATATGTAACACTTACTCTGTTACCTAAATTTTTATAGTTAGATCATATTCAATCTACTTATTAAATTGTGTTCTATTTACCAGTGGAGTTTTTGCAGTTGTTTTGCATTTCACTGTAAGGAAAATAGAGTTCCTCTCCTCTGCTTTCCTCAGAGGATGACCCTTTAACATAGTCTGAGACAAGCCCTGTGGTTCGAAGGTAAACTGTGAGGATGGGACTAAGTGACATGCATCAGTTTACAAAGACACTCTTATCATCCGAGAATACGCCATCTTTTTCTCTGGACAGTTATTTATTACATCTTGCTTGGTTCCTACATTTCGTTGGTTCTCAACATTGGCTCAAGAATGCTGTTAGTATTTATTCTGTGTTGATAAAAGTCTGTCTTGCCACTATGAGTAAATCCCCCAATTAATATTTTCTTCTCTAGCATAGCACTGTCATTTTTTGTGTGTGAAAATGGTTATGTTTATTTATTACAATACTGAGTCATATAAATTTTCAATAAAAGCAGAAACTTTCTTACCTTAAACACTGCTGCTACTTTCTTGTAATGAAAACTTGACACTGGTTTGAGTGGAATTTGTGTATCCATAAGGCTTTTCATGTGGAAAATAGTCCTCTGGAACGCAGGGCAGGATACTGGACTGTATTTGGAGCTGAATAAGTTTACACCATTCCAGAGGGGCCCTGCTGACACACGAATTTAAATTGAAAAGTAATTAGTGGTATTCTTAAGCAGTGTACACCATCATCTCTTTTGTAAAGGGTCAAATGTGAGGAAATTTGTGATTCCACTACGCTGAAAAAAAAACTAACATCTTGATTACTTTTCCACGTTATTGCTTTTAATTGCTATAGTTTTGCAGTCATGTGAGGGAGAACTATGTCTTCTGATAACCGGCAAGTTGGTAGGTACTGAAGTGAAAGGAAGAGGGTTATTTTGGGGAAGAAGTGTGTGCGGGTACGTGTGTTTGAGATGAGGGAACGAGAACTTTTAACAAGAAGTTCTAGGCTACAGAAAAAAAACCTGTCAGTTGTACGGTAGTTTCCATCACTCCTCTACAGGGGTGTCCAAACAAAGAAAGTTCGTTCAACAAGTACGGAAACTTGGAGAAAGCAGTCCGCTAGCATTTATACTTTAGCCTACATATCACGAACGCGCGCGCGTGCAAATTTCGTTCGAAAAGTATGCAGCCGCCTCCAATTGTCAGTCTTTCAAAACGATAAAAACTTGCTACGGTAGGATTCCTTCATGATAAGGATTTTTTGAAAAGTTATTGGAACTAAATGAAATCAGGTATTTGCCCTCTTTGTTCGAGTAGGAGAGCAGAGCGAGCCGCTGCTCTTTGGGGGAAACTCTCAGAGCCCCGCTCTCATCCCGGGGAAACCGGCGGACGGAAGTCGCCCGCCCCAAGCAGCCTGGGGCTTGAGCGGCCAGCAGCACCCACCTCGTTGACGCTGGATTCGAGGGACCTTCCCTCCCGAGGGGACTCGCCAAGAGGCAGCCCCCCCCCCCCCCCCCAAGCCGCTCCCGACCTGCCAAGACAAACCTTCCCTCGCCCCACACTGGCTAGGGAGGTCAGGGGCCGCCGTGCGGCCCTCTCCGGGCCCCTCCTGCTCCAGTCCCGAGCCTCGCGGGGTTTCCATTTGGGCTGCTCCGTGGCGCCCGAACGCCCCTCAGCGGCGGTGGAGCGCGGACCCGGGGGCCGGCGGAGTCAAGCCCGCGGCGAGGGCGCCGCGTCCCTACTTCGCTTCATGGTGCCCAGCGGCGGACTCCCAAGAGCCGGCGCGAACCCAGCACTTGGACCGGGAGCCCGAAAGCCCGCGCTGTGGGGAAAGCCTACAAGTCTGCGGCTCGCGCAGGAGCCGGAGCGTTGGCGGCGGGCTGGCGCGGGACTTCCGCCCCTGGCCGGGATCCCTCGGCCCAGGAGCCAAACCCCTCCCCCTGTCCCAAGGGTCCTCCAGAGTCTGGCCCGGCCTCGGGGTCACCTGGATGCTGGGTCCGGGTCTCGGGGCTCAGCTCCCTCGCCTCTTCCCCAGCCCGGGGGCCTTGAGTCGGGACGGCTTCCTCTCCTCCGGAGCTGTCCCCACTTGCCCTCCCAGAGCCGCGGCCGTTGCTGGAACAGTCGCGGCTTCTGGCCCAGCGTCTCCCACCTGGACATTTGCCTAGCGACGGCCGCCTCAGTCCTCTGCCCCGCATTCAAGAAACTTTGAATCTCAGCCGCTCTCCCTTTCTACTCTGCTCCCTCTCCCCTCTCCGAGCTCTTTTTCTTCTCTTAATCCCGGGGTTTTATGGGCTGAGCATTAAGAAAATTCGCTTGCAATTTGGGATTAGATAAACGCTCCCATTAGGGGAGGGGGGAAGTCCGTGCTACTTGATACCTCCCGACTTCCCCGAGAATGGTGGCAGCATCTGGAACCGAGAGCGCCGAATCTCGAGCGGCGGGCCCTGGGGACCGCCGGGCACATTCCAGCGCGCACTACCGCCCTACCTCGCCGCGCTGGACCCAGGTCGGGTGCCGCTGCTGCAGGCGAAACAGGGCCTGGAGGAGGCAGGAGTGCGATCTTTGCGGGATGCGGCTAGGGCACGTGCCCGGCGCCGGAGGGCCACCCCGGGCACACAGCTCCTAGGCCTGGACTCCGGCAGTGCCCGGCTACGGACGCGCACCCCGGGACCTCCGCTACTCTCCCCCTCCCCCTCCAACTAGTGCGCTCCAGCCCGCGCCTTTCCCCGAACCCGGGGCCGGGTGTATTTCGTTTGTTTCTTTAACCCTCAGCACCGCCTCGGTAGCTCCGAGCCGCTGGCGGCCGGCCGCGGGCCTCGCGGGCTACTCAAGGCTGGGGCCTGCGCGAGCCCGAGACCTGTCCCTGCCTGGGCCAGCGCTGCGCCCCGCGCTGTTTCTTTTCCTCTTAAAGCTATCCTCTCTCTCTCCCCCCTCTTTCCTCTCCTCTCGTTCTTTTATTCCTTCTCTCTTTCTCTCCCTTTTGTGAATGGGCCGCGGTGTCTTTGTTCTGGAGAGAAGCGCCCGTGTCGCTGACTTTTGTGAACCAGAGAAGGATCTTGTAAAACCTCCTTTTCTCCTTCGTACTCCCCCACTCCCACCCCTCCTTCCCTGCCCCTTTGATTAGATGTTCCCTCATCGTCCAAAAAAAAAAAAAAAAAAAAATGTAATTTCGTTGGTCTGGCGGCCAATTTCTTTGAACATTAGCTCGCTTTCAGCTCCAACTTCAATTAGAAGGAGTTGATTTTGAGAGATCAACAAAAGAACCGACCAAAGCCTTATTAAAGGTCCTAAGAAGATCTCCCGGGTCCTTTGAGAAGCAGTTAAGGCAACAGTGTGCCCTGCATCATATTCTGTTACCGTATTTTATTCGGACTCCAAAGGAAAGTGTCGCCTGGGGGAGGGGGCAGCACTTTGATGAGTGGCGGCCGCGGCCCCTTTTCACTCAGCGGGCTCCCCCTTCCTTCTCCTCCTCCTCGCCCAGCGCCGGGTGTGCTCTTGGTGCCCGACCCCGCGGCCGGGGCAGCGCGGGCGCTCCCCGCCGCGACGCGCCTGGCGGCTCCTGCACTCGCCCTCAAGCTCCTGTCCAAACTTTTCACTCCGCCTGTTGGCGTGGGGGTGGGGTGGGGTGGGGTGGGGGTGGAGGGAGATGAGAAGGGTAGGAGTTCCTCTAAAGGGAGTAAAGTGCCTAATATTCAGGAGGAGGTGCCATCGAAAAGAATTGCTTGGCTCAGAGTTGGGGCGAAAACAGTTTATTTGCCCTTTGAAAAAGTCCACCCAGGTAGACGTGTATGGGAAGTTTGTCTGGAAAATGGGCTTCGCCAGGAAATCGTCTCAAGGAGTCTCCCTCCGCAGCACGTGGGGGGAAAACAGGAGTCTGTGACTACATTTTCACCAGACTGTCCCTGGTGGATGGAGACCAGGCAGGAGAGAGAGACAGACTGTGAAAAAGTAAGTTTCCTATCAAAGTCTTTCCACTGAGAGAGAGGTGTATGTGCGAGGAAAGGCGGACGCTGGGTCCCAGCGTTTCAGAAGAAGCCTTTAAGACTTGCAAACTGTCTTGGTGGGGATCGAAAACCCCAGGGGATGCCGAGGAGCAGGTAAGTGCGGCGCCTCCCCTGCGGGTGCTCTTCCCGGGCGCGGGAGTCCCGAGGCCCCGAGGGATCCGCGCGCCCGGAGCTGCTCCCGCGCTCTGCAAAGTAGCCTGCGCCGGCACGAGACGCCCGCGGCGTCCATCTGCAGGTGGCGGCGCAGAGGCAGGAGACGCTGGGGCCCGCTGCGCCGAGAGGGGCTGGGAGCCCTCGCTCCTCCACCCGCCGCTCAGGAGTCCTCGCGCCCACACCCGGGCCGCCGAGCCCGGTGGCGCGCGGGACTAAGAAGGAACCGGTTCTCCGGCACCTTGCCTCCTCTCGGCCACTCCCTTGGGAGCGCCGAGAGGACGAAAGAAGGGCGGGGTCCCCGGGGCAGGCCCCG